ACAGGGTCTTGAAGACAGGCTGAGCAATAAATGTATTTGATCCTACTGACCCTTATTCGCTAATGCAAGTGTAGACAATCCCATCCCCTGAGTGTTCTGCTACAGTACTTTATGGTTTGCATTTCATCTCCGAGTTTCAATACTTAACTGAACCCACGAAGCAGAAAAAATTCACCTACTTTTTCCCTGTCTTCATCAGGTGCTAACGGAAAGCTGACCCTAACACCCGCAGGGACTCTGGGAAACAGGGTTTTCTGTGTAAACCAGTAAACCAGCTGCTGGAGCAGGCAATTTGTTCCCTGCTGATGTTTGGGAGTTTGGATTCTGGATGTACATTTTTTAAATGGAGTGTTTTACATCGGAGTCTTTGGTCAGGGTCGGTCATGGTTTTCAAATTCTCCATGTTGTCAGGTCCCTGTGGCATTTTTTGTGGGGTGCATTAAAGAACGCACCTGTTTACCCCATGGCCAGCAGAATATTTGAAATGTCCCCGGTTGCAATGGGCACTTCAGAAAGAGCTCCTGATTTTGGGAGCAATGCAGGTCTTTAAAACTGGCACAGGCTCTATATGTGGACGGTGTGCGCATGTAGAAAATGTTTTACGGACACAAAAGGAATCGATCAAGAAAATGTATACAAATTCCATGCAAAATTAAAGATGGCATTTCTTGAAGCCCCCGAGGGAGGCTGTGACAGACAGACAGACAGACGGACGGACGGACGGACAGACGGACGAGCAGGGACAGAGCCACAGCAGTGCAATATTCACTGATCTGCACTTGCCTGGCCTGAGACCTTCTCTCCACGGAGCTGAAGATGCTGAAAGGAAGAGGGGGTCAAGATCACAGAACAGCGAACGCCAACCCAGGCAGGCCCTGAGAGAGACTGAGGTCTGACTGAGAGAGGAGAGCTGGCCACAGCTAATCCGTGTGACTCTCCCGATTCGCAGTGCTCTGTGATAAATAAGTCATTAAAAAAACACACACAATAACATGACAAGTGTGTTGAGGGAGGATGAGCGCATGTCCTTTCATATAAAGCTGAATTAGACACTGTAGTTCCAAAAGTAGACATGGGGGGTCTTATGTAGGTTAATGTAGAGAACACCAAAGAGAACAGAGGAAGCTCAGCAAAAAGAGACAGAAAAGAATCTGTGATCATTGGTATGTACTGTCGTCTCACCCACGTCTCTATGCAGTACACTTGCAGAAGTGTGGAAACCCACGTGTTCTAACTCCTGACACCAACAGGAAAGTCTTCACAGCTTTTTTGCTTCAGTGCAAAACTTGTTCTGCCTTTTCTATCATGGGTACAGCTTTCGGCCAGTCAGCCAAATGTGAAAAACTTAAATACCTCTTGCTGTAAAAAAGAAAGGATAGACTCACATCAGGCAAAAGCTAAATGCATGATTAACCATCACAACCCAGTAGGAATGAAATGCAGGAGAAAAGTCAGCAGGGACTTTGTCTATGTAATGTTCTGGGAATGTTTGCACTACAGGCAGTAGTGTGGAGCAGCAGTAGCCTCGCAAGAGACATTTCTTTATACTTGATTTTAGTTGTGAGACAGTATCACTTGAACAGCTGAAAGCCTGGCTTCTTTCAGGAAACAGCTGGATGAGATCCTTGGATCAATTAACTACTAATGACCACAAAGGCCAGATGGGCCAAATGACCTCCTGTTGTTTGTAACCCTTTGGGTGTTTCTTGAAAGAGGCCATGGTATCAGCTTCAATGCATGACTGGGCAGCTTGTTCCACTCTCCCACAACGCTTTGATTAAAGATGAGCCTCACACATGTTCACAGTTTACTATTGCGGTATTGCAGTCACTGGCAAACCATGGGAGGGAAGCAAATATATCATGAAAATATACTGTTCACTGTAAATGTCCTGTGACAGGGTCCTGGCCATACTTGTAAGTGTGGTTTAAAGCTCTGATTTGCATCTAAACAGCATGGCAGTTCATAACTGTGCATGTACAGAAAGGACATTGCATGAGAAAGCCAGAGAGCCTGCTGCCAGTACATGTGATATCTGCTGGCTGTGCGGTCAGGCAGCTTGGTTTGACTTGGAGTGACAGGACTACACTGGCAAACCCCCCCACCATCTTCCTGAAAACTCGACAGAGGTCCTCACCCTCCTATGACAGTCCAGTTCCCCGGCTCCAACTCAACCAGCCCGGAAAAAAAAAGCATATCTCCCCCCCTGCCATCACCACCACTCCATCCCCGACCCATCCCCCCCCCTTCAAGCACAGCTCGAAAAAGCTATGTAAGATATGGAAAAATAGGTCATTTGTCACACATCTTGTCCTGGGGCAGGGGATAAATTATAAATGAAATGAAACAACCAGTGTCTGCAGAGCTAAACTGAACAGTGGGAGAGGAAGGCAAGGAGAAAGAGAAGGAGCGAGAGAGGGAACGTATTAAAGTGAAAGTATGGACGTGAGTAGAAGGGGTAGAAGTCTTTTAAAAAGAGGGCCAATTTAAATTCAAACAAACTTTCTGCATTATTATTATTGGGGTACAAGGCAGGATACACCCTGGATGGGATGTCAGTCCATCACAGGGCAGACAGACACAGGCGCAGTCACACCAGGGACAGTTAATCCCATACAGTAAGCCAATTAACCCACCACCAAAAAAAAACAGGCAAACATACAAACTCCATGCAGATAGCACCCATGGTCTGGAATTGAACCCAGAACCCTAGCACAGTGAGGCATCAATGCTAACAGCTGCACCAATGTTTTTACTACAAAAAAGACACTTAACTGTTACTACAAAATCATAAAATTAATAACAAACCTAGAAGTATTACAAAAAGAGGCAGAGCCATTACATATTAAAATGAATGCATCCTAAAATAGTGGAAGACACAGTGAATGATAGTATCCCATAGCTGAATCTGTAATTGAATTCCCTGCTTGACTACCTGTGATGAAGTAGGTAGTCACGATCTACAAGAGCCAGGCATCCACATTCAGATGTGTTTGTGCTTGCTCCATGTTCTGCCTGGCATTTTATCTCCAGGGACACATCCTGTGTGTCAAGGCTGCTCATTTCTAATCCTCAGCATGGTTCTGCACTTCCCCGAGGTGTGTAATAATAGGTGCTGTCAATCATGTGTGCAGAAGGAGCGTGGACTGATTGACAGCAAGGGCCCATCTTGGCGCAAGTGCATGATGACTTGACAGCAGCGTGAGCAGTATGGCTGGCATGCAGGGATGCTCAAGAAGTATCACATCACATCGCTTTGAATGGTGGGTGTGAGCACTGGGCAGTCTTTCGCTCTTATTTCAGAGGTTGAAGATGACAAAAGAATAAGACTGTGTCAAATCATGCAACCTTGGGTTCGTAAACCACCGACTTTTGTCTTTGAGTCAACTCTGGCAAATTAGTCAATCGGGATATTCTTGTGAATCTTCTGAGTGCAAATCAACCTTCAACTCCCTGGATCAAGAGGGCTTAGCAGTATATGGGCATCTGCTGATGATGCCGATCAACTGGACACAAGGGATCACTAATCAGCGAGTGCCATGGAGCTTGACTCTTCCCAAAGACACTACTCAACAGAGAGCTATGTGACACTGCCAAGAGTTTCCAACCAAATACTCTGAATGACTTCATATACTCTCCATTTAGCAGCTGGGTTATTATATCTTTTATCACATTGTAGGCATCAAAGTATGGTTAAAAAATGTAGGAAATCAGTGTAGTAAATTCCTGAAGGAACTGAACATTTTTACCATTTCGGTATTGAACAGACAGGACTACTCAAAGGCCGGGACAAAGTCAACCCACCGCATGTCTTCAGAATAAACAGCGAAACTGGAACCAGAAGACAACAGGAAACTATGTGGAAGTGCATTAAAAAACCAGGGCTTGCCCAGTTAATATTTGTCCTCCCAGTAGTGCAAAAACAACCCCTCTGAAAAACATTCAGAAACTGATATCACAAAGATGGACTCCACGGTGTCAGTTTACTACTGTTTTTGTGCTTGTAAGAAAATGTATTTATTTAGAATAATTACTAATTACAACTGCCAGAAGAACAAGGTAACAATGGCGAACCTGAAACAATGTTCTCTGTACTGGGACCTGCCCTTCTCAACTGGGGCAGACCCATCTTTTCTGTTGCCGTTCGAGTCCTGATTGGCTAAGGGGGCACAGGGCTTTTCCACCGCCTTTGTCTCACTGTGCAGCGATTTGTATTATACAACACCAAGGCCTGCAATTGGCTAGAAAGGGCAGCTCCCGTTCAAAGGCTACAATCCATTTATCACACAGGTGAACTTTGAGGATGGGACTAGATCAACAGCTTTGCTCTGAAACACACTTTTTGGAACAAATAAAAATGGTCCAGGCCACTTAAAGGCAAAAAACAATACATTTAGATAATTGTGAATGACCAAAGCTATTTGACGCTTAAAGTTAAGAAGAAAAAAGTAAGAAACATACACAATCCTGCTTTTCTTAAAGAAGTATGAATAAGATCTGAACCAAGAACAAGACAACTGAGAACTATAAAAATCCTAACGATCATCGGCGAACACTGCTTTTGAAATACACTTGAATAAACAGCCTGTGTACTGTGGCTCTACGAAAGCTTGGCCTACAGTGCAAACTGCAGCTGCTCCCTGTACACGAAGCATCAGACAGCTCCAGAAACTGAAAGCGCCTGCATCACAAACGCTCCTCTTAAGGCCCGTCGGTGCCGGCAGCCCGGTGCCGAAGTGAAATCCTTCTGCGCTGTTCTTCTGTTCTCAGAATGCAGGTGGAGTTCCATTCTGCGTGTTCCATTAACGGAGCATCTCTTGTGTTTTATGGGGTAGAGAGGGGGGCAGGAGGTGGGTGGGATTGGGGAGAAAAGGGGGTGTCTAGCCATGGGCTTTCACTGACTGCGATAGGAGGGAGCAGCCTCTAATGGCTGCGCTGTCACCGCACCCTCCTTGAGCCAGGAGCCAATCAGCCGGAGCCTTTCCCTGGCAGACGGACACATAAAAGAAGAATTGCATTGCAGTACAGACACACAAGCAGTAGAACCCTTTAAGGGAGCCTGGATTTCGACAGCGGGGAGCCAGCTATACAAAAACAGAAACACATTGATGCTACAGACTGACCAAAAAAAAAAGAATTAATCCACGTTAACATATATATATAAACACCCATCTAGGGGAGACCCACCACCGAGAGACGCACATTTCACTTCTTCTGCGATTGTCTCTTTGGAGAGCACAATTTTCCACATCCTGCTGAAGACGAAGGCCGCTCGGCGTCTTCGATTTTTCCTCTGCGGGATCTCTCTGGGTGTGAGAAACCGAACGGCGCCGCAGAGGACCAGGGCTGTCTGGAAGACCGTGTGGGGTTTGGCTCGGGATTTTTTTTTTTCCTTCCCATTTTTTTTCCTTTTTTTTTTTACTCCCCCCCCCTCCCCTGTCAGAAAACAACAAAACAACAACCCCGACAACCTGCCTGAAAGAAGAACGCCGACCACAGCCACAACCGAGCGAACGCCTCACCACCTCGGCAACAGAAGGAGCTAAATTCCAACTTCCTTTGCACATTAAGAATGGTTACTGTACGTATCTCTCCTTTCTCTTCCCTCTCTCGCACTGCTAGAGCACAATTAGCCCTTTGCATGCATGTGGCTGAGATGTGTGATTATGGCAAATGGGTGGATTTGCATTTGTTGCAGTTTTGGTGATGGTCTGTACATACTGGATATGTACAATAGTACACAGCCATACGTCAGCAGCAAGCAAAATTATATTGGAACATGCTATGCATGTAGCACAGATGTTCTCAAATAGGTTTATTCCTCTGCACATTATGCAATGAACTAAGCTGTGGCATTTTGCAGGCTACAAAGACAGCACTGATTGGATTTAACGATTAAGCTGGGTGTAAGTAATCTGATATATACCAATGCAGCAGCGCTGGCTTGGGTCCTGCGAGCTTCCAGCGAGCGGTGACACCTTTATCTTAAGAATTTAACGCGGCTGGTTGCTTTTCTTGGGTGTTGTGTGTGTATGATCCGGCTTGGAACGGGACGTTGACAATTTCTAACAATATCTGTGTCATGTCATCCCTCCCCGACCTCTCCAGCTCGTCTTTTTCTGTGTTTATCGGTTATTGGTTTAATCATCTAAATATGCAGATTTTCCTTGAGTTTGAAAAGACAGGGGTTTGGGGATATGATCCTGATCTTCCCCACCTACGTGCGCTGCCAGAGGAGCCGTGGGAAAGCAGAAATGTCGAACGGTTTAATATGGCATCGGATGTAGCGGCGCTTCCGTGCTCTGGTACTGTACTGTAGCCGCGCTGTACTGTACGGCAGAGGCGGGGGGCAGCATCCATAAGAATGGCTTGGTCTTCGCTGGCTGCTTGTGCGGATGCCGGGGAATCTTGTGTTTTCCTTTTATTTACTGACAAAACGAGGTGCCCCGCAGCCTGCGCGAGCGCTCGGAGGCTGGGAAGGGGGTCGGGATGCGCCGCGGCAGCACGAGAGCGAGAGAAAGAGAGGAGAGA